TTACCTCCGAGATTATTATAAAGTACTGGCCAGTAGGGTTAAGACTGATGTAAGAAAATCAAAGAGGAATAATAGAGCTGAAGGTAGCAAGGGAGGCGAAGTCGAGCCCTAAAAGATTCTTCCAGATATATCAAACTAAAACACGAGAAAAGATTGGACCAATACAGTCAGACACCGGCGAGCTAACCGATAACATCGGAGAAATGAGCAATAATCTGAACAGATATTTTTCATCAGCTTTCACAACCGAAAATTTGAACATAATATCCGAGACACCAACTATATACAAAGATAGTGAAGAAAATAGATTAAGCAAGATAGCAGTGACGAGTAACGATGTAAGTAAACAAATAGATCAACTAAAGCCTAATAAGTCACCAGGTCCCGATGAGATATTTACCAAAGTATTAAAGGAATGTAAGGAAGAGCTTAGTATGCCCTTAGCAAACTTGTTTAACATGTCATTAAAAACGGGTGTAGTACCAGAATCCTGGAGAATAACGAATGTGATACCAATTTTCAGAAGGGAGAGAGATCATTATCTCCTAATTACCGTCCAATTAGTTTAACATCAATTGTAGGCAAATTGCTGGAAGCAATTATTTCAAACTCAGTTCGAAATCACCTCGAGGAACACAAGTTCATCAATGATTCCCAACATGGCTTCACAAGCGGTGTTCATGTCTGACAAATCTATTATTCTTTTCAAGTGTTTTGAATCAGTGGATAACAGACAAGATTATGATGTGGTTTACCTCGACTTTAACAAAGCCTTCGACAGCCTCTCCCATTTAAAGAAGAGGCTTGTGGAATTGGAGGAGATATTCTAAATTGGATTAGTGTGTGGTCACAGGACAGGAAACAGAGTCAGTATAAACTAACACCTGACAGTAGCACATAATTGCATACCGATGGCTGGGTCTGTTTACCTCCAACAGTGCTCACCTGAAGATTAGCCCCATTTTGTTTTCCTTAAGACTATCCCCAAGCTCATCCCACCTAAAGTTTAACTACCGTGACGCTACCTGGGGGTCAAATCCTCATGTGATCCGTTTTGTTTATTATTATAAGTAGTAGTAGTAATAGTAACATGTAATCCCACAGGTGTTCCTAATAAACCTCGTCCCACACCACCACCACGCCAAGAGCCCCTCCCTTAGGTCTATACCTGCCAGTCATCTGGGTCGTGTCACACCTTAATAAGCTCCCTACCTTACCCGGAGCGTCATTCACACTCCTGAGGGTAAATGACCGAGACCAACTCTGACTGACTGGATCTCGTTGACCCCTGGTGATGACCGAGACTAACTCAAGACTGACTGACCGAGTGACTGGATCTCGCTGCCGTTGACACAATGTTATCCACTTAATAGGATTTTAAGACCAGTTATAAGTCTCCTCTCTAATCTTACCTGGATAACTTGTTAGTCTCCAAGAGAATGTACACCCGTCGGGTTGAAGTTGAATTAAGAGAGACAACAATCACACATGAATTGGTCAAGAAAAAAAAAAATAGCCAGCCTGAAGGACATCCAGGGCCCAGGGGAATGAAACACAGACGAAGGTGATGAAGGAGGTATCGAATGAATTCCGAACAATGCACCACTACTAAACTGTTCAGAATAATGTACACCACTACTAAACTGTTCAGAATAATGTACACCACTACTAAACTGTTCAGAATAATGTACACCACTACTAAACTGTTCAGAATAATGTACACCACTACTAAACTGTTCAGAATAATGTACACCACTACTAAACTGTTCAGAATAATGTACACCACTACTAAACTGTTCAGAATAATGTACACCACTACTAAACTGTTCAGAATAATGTACACCACTACTAAACTGTTCAGAATAATGTACACCACTACTAAACTGTTCAGAATAATGTACACCACTACTACTGTTCAGAATAATGTACACCACTACTACTGTTCAGAATATCGTGGAACACAGGCGCCTTGAGACTGGTAATCACCCAACGTCATCCTGAACTCCGTAAAGGGTAGTGATGAAACAGATAATATAACCCAAGCAGTTTAACATGACACAAGAGACGCTAACCGAGCACATCACAACAAACGTTTTTATAAGTAATCTTGTTTACGAAGTTGTTTACAAACGGTAACTACGGTGTTCAGAATAATGTACACCACTACTACTGTTCAGAATATCGTGGAACACAGGCGCCTTGAGACTGGTAATCACCCAACGTCATCCTGAACTCCGTAAAGGGTAGTGATGAAACAGATAATATAACCCAAGCAGTTTAACATGACACAAGAGACGCTAACCGAGCACTATCACAACAACACGGGTTTTATAGAGATAATCTTGTTTGACGAAGTTGTTTACAAACGGTAACTACGGTGAAAAAGGTAATTGGGTTGTACAAGGATTTTCTTCAAGGTTTTCGACAGACATACAGACAAGTAGCCTGTAAGATCAAACCACATGGTATCAGAGAGGCAAAAACTAGTCAGATTGCAATTTGTAATCACCCAAAATAATCAATAGTCCAATAGGATCACCTGAAGAATCGTCACCCCAGCCTGCTCCACCTGAAGAAACGTCGCCCCAGCCCACAGTGAATATAATATGTATAATTAGGATAACATAAATATATTCTTTTGTGTTATGCTTCTTTATTGTGATGCATATTACAAAGGTACTGAACAGCAATGTGTTGACACAAAATTTCCAGAGGATTATCAGAAAAACGATAATGCCACATAAATTCTTGAAGGTAAGAATTTAAAAAGCTTCGTTTACAGCCACGCATGGTCTTGATGAAACTCTTGTTCTTGTTCCAATATGATTCAATCGTTTGTGTGTGCACACCAGTATCCACATCCACAAAATTGACTGAGTGGTTCACAGTTCTGTGCGTGTATCCAAGACCTTGAATATTGCGGTATGCTCTCCACTCATCACTGTGAATGACTGATCCTTGTTGAACCACTTTGAGTATTATAGGAAGAAGGGTGGCAGCATCCCTTGTCTCGACAATTTCCATGTAGCCAATTGAAGGGCTCCAGCTCGTATCGACGATACCGAAAACCCAAATAGGAGAGTGTGGTGCACGTCCACGATGATGTTTCGGCTTATGGGAGAAGCAAGATTCATCAATTTCTACGGTGATCCCAGGTCCGCCAAGTTTGATTGGATTTGCTTCAAAGTACACAGTACAGACCTCCCTAAAAAGCTGCAGCAGTCAATCATCGTTTTCTCAGAAAGGTTCACCTGGCGGCCTGCTGCTGTTTCTCCAATACGCTCACTCTAAAGATACATAACATGAACCCACTTCTGAAGTGAAATATTAGAACGGGCAAAAAAAGATCCTATTCTTATAGACTTAGTGGATTTATACTTCAGGCAGTCTTTTGTTTGGCATTTCCACAAAAAAACATCCTTCGATCTGATGCATTTTGTCCAATTCCTCCAGTTATCACAAGTATCACACTTCGCTTCAAGCTTTAAAAGTCTGTTTTGTTGAAGCCATCGAATAACTTTAGAGGACTCATCACACAACAGTGGTAGGACGACAGTTTGGAAGGTATTGCCTGCCATGGTCGACTGATGAATGTGACTAAAATTTTGAGCCCACTTCCCATTATATAGTCCTCCTACCTGACTGGAGGGTCCTGACTCCACTAACCTGAAGATTAACAACCGTGGAGGCTCCTAACCCCACCTGAAGAATCGTCACCCCAGGATATCCCACCTGAAGAATTGTCGCCCTGCCGGACTCTGGGGTGACGATTCTTCAGGTGATCCGTCCAATAGTAATAAGAAATACTAATACTAATAGTAATAGTATTAATAATAATAATGTGATCATAATAACATTGATAATAATAATTAATAATAACACTACAGAACTGTAACGGTATTTGTGACAACGCCGCAATATACAAACAACAGTACCTAGTGGGTGCAGCTGTAAAATTATCGTACATCAACATCACTTTCCCTTTCTAGGCAAAGATGGGTTAATGTGTGTGTGTGTGTGTGTGTGTGTGTGTGATTGATCTACAAAACTCACCACTGCTCCCATCACTATAACCACCACTATCACTACCAAAATCCCATAACCACTACCGACATTACCACCATCTCATAATCACCACCATCACTACCTACTACTACTACTACTACTACTACTACTTTGCTATCACTTGGAATCGAGGATGACGATCATCCAGCTATGATACAATGATAGGAGTTATTAAAGATGTCACCTTCGTTGGTGAACTCTGAGGTTGCTCGAGAGGCCGATGCGGGACCAGCGCGGCAGGGTCGTCCACCGATGTTGCACGTGTACAGCGCTATCATCATTAACACGGAAAACACCATCACTTTCATCACTACAGCCACCAACACTACAGCCACCATCACTACCACCACCAACACCCCACAATCACACTACAACAATCACCAGCACACCATAACCACATTACTACAACCACCATCACACCATAACCACACTACTACAGGCATAACAGTAACATAGGTCAAACTGATGACTTGTTACACCTCCATACTTTACTACTGACCTCCCCCCAACACACACTAGGTTAACTTAGCACAATACCGTATGATTAGCCCGACAGTGCGAGTCTCCCGGCGACGCTGGGTGAAATATTTACACTAGTGAGAAAATCTATATCACAAGCTGTGTCCAGTGCTGGCGGGGAATACATCAGTCCCTCCCGACTTTTAAAATTATCTTTATCTACGTGAGATGACAACGTGAATGATTGTATTTTTTTGGCAAAGGTTAAATATGTATTAATTTTACTTGTTTTTTCGTTACATTTTTAATATTTGTTAAAATTATAGCGTTTTTTTATATTCAGTTTGTATTATAGGAAAGTTAATGTAACGATAAATTCCAGTATAGAATTAAACCTTTTTTCCCGATAGGTTCAACATTATTCAATTAGGAAGAAAAATATACTTAATAGATAAAACAAAGACGGTGTCTCTCACCTTTCCTGTTGATAATATTCTTCTCTAGGCCGTTCATGGTGTGTGGTAGTGATGTTGGTCACAACTTCCTTCAAAATATTACGGGAATTAAGTAGACACAGCCAGACAACACGCTACCCACGGCCTCAGTCTTCCCCTTCACTGACGGAGACTAGAGGAAAATTCCGATCAGCTGATCAGACCCAGGCTGGGGACGAGACTACCACACACCAGCTGGGGATGAGAGTAACTCTTTGCGCCAAGCAAAACACAGTCATGTTAAGAGAATACCACGACCATGTCAGTTAAACAAATAATTTTCATCATTTAAGTGAAAGCAGATAACGAAAATCTAAGCATATCTAACCTAACATTAAAATTAAATAGCCAGGTTGTACTTGTGTTCAGGTTATGTTTGATTCATATAGGCAGATCAATAAAAGAGTGAGCAGGAAGTTATGCGCTCGTCGCTGTTCAACTGGTGAGAAATAGATGGCAGACAACAACACTTTCGCAACTTCATGCGAAACCATATTTTAAGTGTCATGAAAATACTGGTGCTTGAAAATAATATGTATTCCTTTTGATCAGGCAGACAGATACCACAACGTGGTTGATTCCGTGTGTGGAAACCTTGGCATTTGAACTCAATTATAGATACTGTACTGTAGATACTCAGAACAATAAAAAGCAACAGGACAATACAGAACGACAAGCAAGCTTCAGATACACAAATAATCAATAACATTTCGCTGTTATACAGTATACTGTATTATGGACAACGGTAATCTTCTTTAACTGTCAAACTGTTCAAAGGAGGGCACTTCGGCACCTCAGCTACCCTGAGAGATTGGAGCGCCTGAACTTGCCTAGTTTATACTACAGACGGGCAAGGGGGGACCTAGCTAAGGTGTATAAGCATCTCAGGGGGCACTACTCAGTAGTGTCCTTACTTGGAGCTGGCGGACGCTCGCCCCACAAGGGGTCACAGCTCAACATTGAAGAAGCCGCAAGTCCAGAAAACTGTGAGGGCAAACTTTTTCGGAGTGAGGGCTGTAAACTCTTGGAACAATCTACCAGAGAGTGTTGTGACGGCACCGAGTGTGAGCTCTTTCAAGACAAGACTTGACCAACACTGGAGCGGGTTCAGGTACATTAAGGAGCCGGTGCATGCCCAGTATTTGCCAACAGTGCGTGACAGAGACGGGACCGATCGCCCGGGCGGCTAGCGAGCCGATCTTTTGGTGAAGAGGATAAATGAAAAGGGAAAGTAATCAGAGACGTGACAGGTCGCCCAAGCGGCTAACGAGCCGATCAGTGGCGAAGAGGAAAAAAGTAAAAAGTGAAATAAAATCACGAGCGGCTGAGTCGACTATTCGGCCAGACTTCAGAAATACCAGATGCCGATATTTAATTATTCGCAAAATGAACCACCCTAGTTACTGATCTCTACAATCTTATTTATACAATTATATTACATCTGCATGACCAAAATAACATTTCAAGGTAGTCACTCATTATATATATAAGTTTTCTATGCTGTCACAAAATGGTCAACATTTCGAAGGGGAAACTTATTTAATGTTTTGTACTTTATTTTGGGGTCCATGCATATAGCCTTAAGTCTGTATATAGTTAGTATTAAGGGAGAATTATAGATGCCCACACAATTGTTGGGGAGACTCAATTGGTACCAAATATTGCGAGTAGTTGAAGGATGTCTGGGGGTTACCTTGGTTACTCTGTCTGAGGTTAATAAACAGGGAAGTTTTTGTTGCGTCTGTGTCATGTGACTGACTGATGTGCTCAAGTATATTGTTGCTAACTTACTGACCGTAACACCCAGAGTCCGTGGCTGTCCGTCACATTAGATCGCTATGTATAATAACTTCACTTTAACAGCTTATGGTTTACCCCAACACCTCACATACATTTAATCCATCTTACGAGATTCTCTGATAACACTCTCTTATATATCGCTCCGTCAAATGAGTTACCAAGGTTTTTTAATCTCAGACAGACGTAAACAAATGAGTTTCCAAAGCTAGTTACACTATTAATAATTTTACACTGTAAGGCATAAATTAAGCCTTCCTAACTATCACATAAACATTAATGACCCACTGTTCAGTGTAGAATTACTTTACCTTTAATAATTATACAATTTGCGATGAATTTTTCTGCCATAATAGCATAGAACACTTCTGAAGCCCTCATGACTACAGTGTGGAGGGGGGGGGGGTGTTAAACTTATTATCAAGTGATTTTCTGGCAGGTTGTGGTATGAATTTGTAGAGAAAACTAAATCAAGGCATTTATATATTGGCTAATGAGAACTTTGGAAGCAAGAATCAACTGGGTGATTCGTACATATCTACTAATACCCCCACAATATTGAGGTAGGTTCAAGTTCTCAGCCGCAAGTTGTGTTAATAGAATTGCTCCAGTGTTTTTTCACCAAGGGCTATAACATTAAAGACTTAAGACACAAACTTAAGAGCGAGATAGCCGATGAATCTTGCTGTTTAACGGGTCGTGGTATACAGTACACAGCTAAACGGTATACCTGCGTTGTCTACATACAGTATTACTAGAAACCAGATCACTAAAAACAAAAGGTGGAGATAGAAATACTGCTATATAACGCATGGAGTTAAACTTCTATATATTACTAGGAAAAACACCGAACAAAGCTAGGGAGTATATGAGGATGCTGGGGACTATATGAGGCTGCTGGGGGACTATATGAGGCTGCTGGGGAACTATATGAGGCTGCTGGGGAACTATATGAGGATGCTGGGGACTATATGAGGATGCTGGGGACTACAGGAGGATGCTGGGGGACTATATAAGGATGCTGGGGACTGCAGGAGGCTGCTGGGGACTACAGGAGGCTGCTGGGGACGGGGAGGCTGCTGGGGAACTACGAGGATGCTGGGGACTACAGGAGGATGCTGGGGGACTATATGAGGCTGCTGGGGACTACACGAGGATGCTGGGGACTACAGGAGGCTGCTGGGGAGAGGATGCTGGGGACTACAGAGGATGCTGGGGACTATATGAGGCTGCTGGGGACTACACGAGGATGCTGGGGACTACAGGAGGCTGCTGGGGAACTATATGAGGATGCTGGGGACTACACGAGGATGCTGGGGACTACAGGAGGATGCTGGGGGACTATATGAGGCTGCTGGGGACTGCAGGAGGCTGCTGAGGGACTATATAAGGCTGCTGGGGGACTATATGAGGCTGCTGGTGGGCTATATATAAATACTCTGGGATTAATAGTCTATGAGTAACAGTAGTCTTGAATAAAACTAACTATTCTCTCATATAAGACAGAGGCAGTTATACAGTGACAACACCTAGGCCAGTGTTCTTACGCTGGGACAGTAGCCAATCGCTAACCTCACGACGTTTACCAACCAATCAACGCTAGTCATATGAATAAATGGACCAATCAGCGGATTTTGACTTTAGGCCATGAACCAATGAACGTAAGTCGTGTGGGTGAAAGGACAATCAGCTAACCTCGTATGCGTTCAACAGCCAATCACCGCAAGTCATGTTGGTGAAGAGGCAATCACGGCCACGTCAGGAGTTGGTCAACATGGGTTTTCCTCCTGTCAGGGGCTGTCTGTACTCGAGCGTTTACCTGGTGATGTTACCTGCAATTAATCCCGAAAGAATTAGATAAAACAACAATAGTTAGTATATCAGCCGCCTATTGAGTTATTTGGCGGGTGTTAAAGAGAGACTGTTAAAAATACCTTATATAGAGGGAAACCGAGCCAAGCCAATTGTAATTTTAATCCAGTTGTTATATCCACGACTTCATGTAAGCCTGGCAGGAAGTTTTCCAGTTACGCGAACAATAAAAAGTACGAATGTTTGGAAACCTTATCTATATACTGTCAGATTGAATCGGCTGCTTGTCCAATTAACCAGTCCGTTCACACATATTTATATTTGGGTTTTAAGTAACGAAACCCAAACGGTAGTTCCTTTGTTTTATTATAAAAGGTTGTATATATAATTCCTGAGTGTAGATCGACCGTAAGTCTCACTGTATAGGAGTGAATGAGAAAGGTACGGCGTTTATGTCTTATAAACGTTAGGTCACGTCCTTACGATATGAGTTAAGGTGAGCTACTCAAGCTTAAGGGCATCGCAGTGCAGGTTTACAGAAATGCTGAGCTATGGGTCTCGCCCGCTTGGGTGAGTTGCCCGCTCACGTGTCCATCTCATGTCTTACTCATAGACAGTGGAAAGTTACAGGGTGGTGAATCTGAATATAATATCAGATGTATTGACCCATTTATATAATACGTTCTGTTGATGAGACAGGGGCCTATTACAAGATATATTAATGTTGAAATATTCTTGTAAATATATTTCTAATCTGGATTCTGGCTACATATAAAGAGCCATAGTTTGGTGATCTTGAGCCAGAGATGAATATTTTTGAAAACTATTAAATGTTTAATTCAGTTTACTCTATGTTAACATTTCTACTGAACTAAAAATATACAAGTTATCAGCCAATTAATGCATCTTCAACCAACAGTGAACCGCCGTGAGGGGTCGACACTAGGGCCAGGGGATGGATGGTAGGAGGGCCAGGGGATGGTTGGTAGGAGGGCCAGGGGATGGTTGGTAGGAGGGCCAGGGGATGGATGGTAGGAGGGCCAGGGGATGGATGGTAGGAGGGCCAGGGGATGGATGGTGGGGGGGGGCCAGGGGATGGATGGTGGTGGAGGGCGGGGATGGGGTAGGAGGGGCCAGGGGATGGATGGTAGGAGGGCCAGGATGGTTGGTAGGAGGGCCAGGGATGGATGGTAGGAGGGCCAGGGGATGGTTGATGGGAGGGCCAGGGATGGATGGTAGGGAGGGCCAGGGGATGGGATGGTGGGAGGGCCAGGGGATGGATGGTAGAGGGCCAGGGGATGGTTGATAGGAGGGCCAGGGGATGGATGGTAGGGATGGGTAGGAGGGCCAGGGGATGGATGGTAGGAGGGCCAGGGATGGATGGTAGGAGGGCCAGGGATGGTTGATAGGGGGCCAGGGATGGATGGTAGGAGGGCAGGGGATGGTTGCAGGAGGGCCAGATGGATGGTAGGATGGATGGGAGGGCCAGGGATGGATGGTAGAGGCCAGGGGATGGATGGTAGAGGGCCAGGGGATGGATGGTAGGGGGAGGGGATGG